AATAAACTCAAACCTGTTCATAGAACTCTTCTGCTATTCGGTAGGTCCACTGTATGTGAATATCATGTCTCTTGCACGGACCGTTAATGTCTGCTAGTTTAATACACATCTCCATTGCTAGCAGTCGGTCTGTTTCAGACATCCAGTCAAGTCCAGGAGCATTGTCATCGTTAACCTTAAGAATAATAAAAAAGTGAGGTGAAAAGAAGACTAACAGCTAGTCTGGTACTGACAGGCAGTTAGGACTCAGCCTAACAATATCACCAACCACCACTATATATATATTTACAAACGGTTAACTGTATTATTGCAAGAATATTGACATGAACCTAAGGGTCTGAAAGAAACTGATATTCTTGTAATTTATGTAGTTAGAATACGTTCACTACCGATTAACATCGTTTGAAGTAGTGTGAACAATATTAGAATACGCTCGCTACCGATTAAGACCGTTTGAATAGTGTAAACAACATTGCAATATGCTCACTACAGATTAAGACTATTTGAAGTTGTGTGAACAACATTAAAATATTCTCACTACAGATTAAGACTCTTTGAAGTAACATGAACAACATTAAAATATGCTCATTACAGATTAAGACTCTTTGAAGTAACATGAACAACATTAACATATTCTCACTACAGATTAAGACTCTTTGAAGTAACATGAACAACATTAAAATATTCTCACTACAGATTAAGACTCTTTGAAGTAACATGAACAACATTAAAATATTCTCACTACAGATTAAGACTCTTTGAAGTAACATGAACAACATTAAAATATTCTCACTACAGATTAAGACTCATTGAAGTAGTGTGAACATTACAATATGCTCACTACAGATTAAAACTCATCGAAGTAGTTTGAACATTACAATATGTTCACTACAGATTAAGACTCTTTAGAGTAGTGTGAACATTACAATATGTTCATTATAAATTCAGATCGTTAGATGTAGTGCATAGTTTCTCGTCTTCTGTTGAACAATATTAGAATACCTTCCCCACAGATTACGACCGCTTGATGTAGTGTGTAATATATTATTTTACGTTTAACATTAGAATACTCTCAATACAGAGTAAGTAAGTAAATAGTGGTATTTCATCACTATATATTATACGCACCTAGAGTCTCAAAGTGTGGAACGCGTTTTTGTGGCTGCGAACCACGGACCTTCGGATTCATAGCATGAGCGCGTTAGCCACAGGATCAGCTGTTAAAAATAGCTGGTCCATAAATCGGTGGCGATCAACGAACACGTTTTTTGCATATAATTCTTTTTAAATAAATAGTCATGTGATTAAAATTCTAAATCGTTTCTAACTCGTTGTTACAGCAATATGTATAACTATCTACGCTCTTTTTATTTTATATCTTTAGGTCATATACTGTAGCAAAGGCCCATATATTCCTGACTGTCCGTAAGCTTCTTACAAAGATTTTGTCAGTTCGTGCAGTAATAGTGGTTTTGAACTGCTGATAGTTGGGCTACGACAGGTGTTCACTTCAACGTAATATGGGAATAACGTTTTATATTAAGTGGCGGCAATCTTTGTTGAGAGTATTTTAACGTTGTTGAACGTAAAATTGTATATAACACACTACATAAGGCGATTTTAAACAGTACTATGTACATTAGCTACTGCAAACTTTGGAACCAGGCCATTCTCACGTGCATGAAGTTTTTCTATAGAGTAAATCTAATAGCCAAAATATTACTTTAAGTGTAACAAATGTTCATACGCTACGAAAAAAGAAAGTAATTTCCTTTTTCTCTATTTACGCAAATTTAAAAAGAATATATGTATACATAGAGCTATATATATATAAAATTAAATGTAAATTCATGAGAAAAACAAAAACAACAAAACGCACCCATAATACAAACATCCAACATCGGGGCACAAATCATAAGGTGGGTCATATGTAATATGCCCTTATTTTTAGAGGTACTGGCGGAGGTAAGACCCAATTTGCGTTGGGGGGTACACTGTCTATCCAGTTTAACCTCAACTTCGACGGCTTCACATCTTTAAGAAAAAGACAATAAAAAAAAAAAAAGAGCAGATGTGGGTGCTCTAGCCCACAACGTCCCACATCTCTACCACCTTTCGATGACTGCAGCCAGATGTGGGAAGATGGTTGCTCACAAGAAGATAAAAATAAATAAAAAAACATCAAGAAAAATAGAATACATTACATCAATGGGGGAGACAGCAAAAACTGTCCTTTGAAATTAGCATTCCAGACCCCAATGTGATGTTTGGACATAAATACCAAGATGTTGAGGTATTACTATACTAGCCCAACCAATAATATAAGTATAGCTTCCACCCTTCCATGCTATTATCCGGATCTCCAATGGTTCTAAAGAGATCCACACAGTAGCAGGTCATATATAGGGTTTGGTTTGGTTTGAATTTCGCGCAAAGCTACACGAGGGCTATCTGCGCTAGCCGTCCCTAATTTAGCAGTGAAAGACTAGAGGGAAGGCAGCTAGTCATCACCACCCACCGCCAACTCCTGGGCTACTCTTTTACCAACGAATAGTGGGATTGACCGTCACATTATAACGCCCCCACGGCTGAAAGGGCGAGCATGTTTGGTGGGATGCGAATTCGAACCCGCGACCCTCAGATTGTGAGTCGAGCGCCTTATCCACCTGGCCATGCCGGGCACCAGACAAAAGTAATCCAAGAATCAGCAACAGGTACTGTTAATTAGCTAATCTGTTATTTTAAAATTGCGGATGGCTATAACCCTTTATTTAGATTTTACGATAATTTCTGAAACAAATAAATAAACTTTAATATGACAATATATATGAAATTAAGTATAAATTCCCTAATCTGAATCTATCGTTTGAAATGAAAATAATACATTTAACAAATATTCGATAAAAATTCGATAAAGCTGGAAGTTTTATATTCACCAATGCATCTTGTTTTATACTGAATCACTAGTAACCATTTTTAAATGTGCAGCAGTGCTGTCACCTGGTAGGTTTGATATTTTGATGAATAAATAGGTCGCATATTTCTATGGAAAACAAGAAACTTCGAAGGTAACCATATATGACTGTATTACATCACGAAAAAAGATAAAGAATTTATTTAATTTAAACATCATTAAAAATTCGGAAATGCTACTCCATGATGACTACGATCACAGAATTGTCGGATATTACTATTTTTAATAGGGTATTACGTCTAACTCAAAACTTTTAGCCGAAACCCAAACAATGTGTGTGTGTGTGTGTATGTCCACATTTGTCCCAAGTTTTAATATTTTGATTGGACATGTGTATATTTTCTATACATATTTTTTTTTTGCTTGTTTGTTTCATTCGTACTGTTCATGTTACAACATTTTTTGGTCTAGCCTTTATCTTCCAGATTAACTGTTTTAGTTATTAGGTAAAAATAAATATTCCAAAAAAAAATATTTCAGAAGTTTGGAAAAATTAATTTCCGTTAACGCTTTACATAATTACTTGGTATTAGAGTTTCTGAGAAATATTTTTCCTTTTATCATCTAGAAAGTGGTTAAACAAGACGCTTATTTTTGTTATCGAGTTATTGAAGTTTAACCTAGCAAACGTGTCGTTTTGCACTTGTTTGGAGTTGGTTAAATTTGTAGAAGACTTAAATATTTCGCTTACTAGCAAAGAAATAGTTTATGTTTTAGCATATTTTTCTAAAGCTTTGATTTCTTGTTTAATGATAGAGCTTTGAGAACGTGGCAAAGCAATAACAACTTCATTACACGCAAGATCTTTCCAAGAAACTTGGTAGTATGCAGTCAAGTTTTTCAACCATTTTTAAGAAAACCAAACATGTCGACGAAAACGAAATTACTAAGGATTTTTTCTCGATCAAAAAAGAAATACTCATCCTAATTAAATTACCCTTTATCACAGGGTAGTGATGTATTCAATCTTTGTGTTTATAAAAATTTTCCTTAAGGATCAGTATCATCTTTCTGTCAAAACCTCACTGTAACTGTTGAGTTAGATCAGTAGGGTTTTCATGGATTGTTTTCAAATTAGTATATATCTCTTGCGCTTCAATAGCAATATTCTTAGTGTTATGGATGTTTATACTGTGATGCTCTGTCTATTTTTGATAGAAAGCTGCTTATAAAGGTCTTTATCTTTATAAATTATTTTCTCAGATAATTGTATTGTATTCTAAACTGCCAACAAAGATCTTTATGATTTTATATTGTATTATAAGCTGCCTACAAAGACTTTTATCGTTCTATATTGTATTTTCAGCCACTTATAAAGATCTTTATCATTATATATTGTATTTTCAGCCACTTATGAAGATCTTTATAATTCTATATTGTATTATAAGCTGCCTACAAAGATTTTTATAATTCTATATTGTATTTTCAGCCACTTATGAAGATCTTTATTATTCTATATTGTATTATAAGCTACCCATAAAGACCTTTGTCATTTTATTTGTATTCTCCCTGCTTACAAATAACTGTACCATTCTATATCGTATTGTAAGCTGCTTATAAAGTATTCTTAACTGTTTATAAATATTCCTATCATTTACGATTGTATTCTAAGCTGTTCATAAAAGATTCTTATTATTCTAGATTGTATTCTAAGCTTTATATCCTCTTCTGAAAGTCCTGCTGAAAGTAACCAAGACTCAAATAATACTTTTAATAGTACCGATACGCTTGAGTAAGGAAGCACATTAACCTAATATAATAATAGGTAAACAAACAATGATTTATAAGCATAAGGAAGAATTTTATTTATGGTGAAACATACTACACATTTCGACAGAACATTGGTCTGTCGAAACATGTAGTTTGTTCCACCATCAATAAAATTCTTCCCTATGCTTATAAATCATTGTTTGCCTACCTATTAATAACGATATAAGTTTACATTGTACAGTGTCAGTTCCTAAGATAGAAAATGGAAATTGAAATTTTTGACAATTGTATTAATATTTTACTTAAACTTTTGTAGGTGCTCGTGCGTATAACACTGTTCGCCCTCTGGCGTATAAAGATGCCAACGTCTTCTTCTTGTGTTTCTTCATTAGTGAACCAGACTCTCTAGAAAATACTGTGTACAGAGTGAGTAACATAAAACTCATTTTTGTTTGATTTAATAGTCGTACACATCTCTTTTGTGTGTGTGTTTTAAATTATGTATGGAAAAAATATATATACGCATATATACCCATGTGTGTGTGTGTGTGTGTGCATACCTACATGTATTCGGCGGTATACCCTAAACCCATTTCTAAAAGTGTTTATAGAACCATTTTAAATCCGAGAATATTTAGGAGATGAGGGAAATCCCAGCAAAAGACTGAAACAAATAACAAATTCTTCTGAAAATTAATATGTTAGTTAAGTTAAAGAAGATATCCATATAAAATATATATGTTTTATGGAACTTTTACTACTGTTCCCTTCATAAATATAAAAAGGCTCTGACGCAAACTTTTGTGTTTGGTATTTTCAATCTCAATTGCACCTTTTGCGACACGTGCTAAACAGCAACCCAGAACAACCTAGCACCTACACGATTACTCTTAGCCAAAGATTGAGATTGACTGTTACTTTTATAACTCGCTCACTGCTGAAAATCTGGAGCTTTATCAGAAAGATGTGCTCTCTAGGTCTTCCGATACTCAGACCGATACTTTAATATTAACCCGTACCCGGCCCTACCAATGCATGTTTTTATTGTGAGATCGAAACACATTACATAAAATGACGTTAAAACACATTGGAGGATAGCATAGTTTAATTAGCTCTGGTATTGACTGTTTATGATAAATTCGTATGGAACAACGCATTGTTTAATATCGACTGTGGTCTTTTCACTTTCTATAAAAATTCATTGACTTGTGTACTGAGACTATATTGGGAGTGGCATAAAATCCGTTGTTGATTTTTTGTGTATTGAGAGTATATGGGGAGTGGTATAAAATCTGTTGTTGATTTTTTGTGTATTGAGAGTATATGGGGGAGTGGTATAAAATCCGTTGTTGATTTTTACTTCAAGTGTTTCCTGGCTATGACATCTGAAAAACATTAATTATAGACAAACATGTATATATATATATATATATATATATATTATAAATGTACAGTAATAAGGTTCTACTGAAACGTTACGTCAGAAGTGAGTCTGGTTTGTCTTGAATTTCGCGCAAAGCTACAAGAGGGCTATCTGTGCTAGCCGTCCCTAATTTATCAGTGGTAGACTAGAAGCAAGACAGCTACTCAATATCATCCACCACCAACTCTTGAGTTATTCTTTTACCAACGAATAGTGGGATTAACCATCATATTATAACGCCCCTACAGCTGAAAGGGGCGAGCATGTTTAGTGGCGAGAATTCGAATCCGTGACCCGCAGATTGCAGGGCGAGCGCCCTCACTGTCAGGCTCCAATAGTGAAAAAAATTTGACGGTTTCTCAGTGTTTCTTAACATCGATCCAAACTCGTTATTTAAAACTTATATCGGAAATTCATCCTTGGTTATGAAAACAACATGTCTTACGTATGCTATTTTTTTCAGTTGAAATGTTTGAAGTATAACCGATTTAGGTAGACTTTGTGTTGTAGTAAAAATTAAAAATAACAACATATCATTTCTATTACTAAGTCTTAATACACCCCTTCGATTTCATATGTATTAAACATCCATTTCAATTTCTTAAAAAATCCATCCCATCTAATTTTTATTCACTTATAATGCTATAGAATAATGTGTAATATAGATGCTCTATGAATATTATTCTACCGTTATTGTGATTATATGATAGTTAAAACATAAGATATGTATTTTCGTTGCTTTAATATAAAGCTTTAATGATATAAATGAGGAATTTGGTATTTCCAAAGATTTTAAGTTCGACGGTTCTACAGGGCGTCGGAAAATCCTGGAACCATGTGCACTTCCGATTCTACAGGGCGTCGGAAAATTCTGGAACCATGTGCACTTCAACGAATTTTACAAAATATTTTCCACATGCTCTCCTTGTAAGTCGAAACAAGTTCTGAGACTGTATTTCCATTCTCTTTTAACACTGCGAAGCATATCCGTGTCATCCACACAGCCACTCTTCTCAGATTTGGCTAACAACTTCCAAGCAACACTGCGAGTGATGTTTTATTCTCCCTTTGGATGGCGTGCATTAAATTCAGCAGCAACCTTCCTCAGGGATCAACCTTCTCTGCCACACAACAGGATTAATTCTACCTTCTCATGCTTTGACAGCACCATAATCAGTCACGTATCTGAAATTCACCGATCGTTCCAGACTTTTCGGACACTCTATATAATGAAAAATTATTTATAGTCAGCTAAATATAACAGAGTCGATAAATAGTAATTTGTTTGTCTGGTTTTCGTTTTGAGCAAAGCTATCTGCTGTATGCATCGTGGTGAATCGAACCCCGGATGTTAGCTTTGTAAGTCTGTATGCTTGCCGCTATCCTATTGGGAAACTAGTAATTTGTGATTGGCTAAAACATTTCTGGATAATGAATGAAAATATTATTGTATATAAAAAAAAGTTTAACGTTAACACTGTGTTAGCCTATTTAGAGATAACTACCTGTTTAGTATCCGAAAGACGTGGAACTTAAGCAAAAGCTTTTTTTTTCCTGTTCGATATACACAACTTATTTATATTTCTCAGTATTCCATCATGTTTTATCTCTTTACTGAAGTTAAGCTACATTTTAATTCCGAAGAAATACAACTGAAAGTCTATCTAACAATATTTATACCCAATTTGAAAAACATCCCACGTCGTCCATAAATTCTTATGCAAATAAACGTTCAATCTTAATTTCAACAAAGTGAGAAGAATAAGTCAATCTGAAAAGAATACTAATTGCTTAAATATCTCTGTTCCAGTGAACATTATTGTTTAAACCTAACTAATAACAAACACTTGTTCTTATAAAACTTTCGTTTCAGATCTAGTAATTACTTGACCAACGTCGATGACAACTGAAAATAATTTTATTTAAAGTTAATTAGTTTAAAATTATTTTTAAAATATTGTTAATACAATAACTCATTGAGTTATAGTTTAAAATGGTTTTAAGTTTCATACAGACAGAAATGTAAAAAAACAAACAAAAAGAAACAAGTTGAGGATAGATTATGATGAGGCCTCGACGTAGTCAACTTTAGAGCAGTTACTTTATATCCTTTACAATGTACATATAAATTTCAATCTTTGTAAATGGTCCCACATGGGTAAGCGTCAAGTTTACGGATTTTCAGCGCTAAAATCTACGGTTCAACTCCTCGCGAAAGACAAGTTTCTCTAGCCCATTGTGCTAGAACAAACAAATTTAGTAAATGGTCCCCCATGGGTAAGCGGCAAGTTTGCGGATTTTCAGAGCTAAAATCTACGGTTCAACTCCTCGCGAAAGACAAGTGTCTCTAGCCCATTGTGCTAGAACAAACAAACTTTGTAAATGGAAAAATATTAAATAACCTTTTGAGTCAGTATTTAAAAACAAGAGTGTTTATCCTGACTTTACGTTAGTCTATTTCTGAATTAATATAGATAAGTCTGATCAGTGGGTTAACTGTAGCAAAGATAAGCGGTTAGGGTGAATTGCACTATACTTATGACACAATCAGTAAAAGATAGTTGAAAATAGTTTTGATTGTGGCTTAGAACTTTGAAATTTTTATTCTGTAATTTTGTTCAATCTTCTCTTCCTTATCATAACCTTAGAGATTCTACCGACCTTATAAAGCTTACATTTATTTTGATATTGAATTAAAGGAGAATACAAGGAGTGTTGATTGAATATTTCGCGCATAAAATTAAACGTCAAATCTGCAATCACAAAATATTTATAAAACATGCAATTAAATATATCTAGTAATGCATTTTCTCATACAGTTCTGGTCTTAACTTGGGATCTAAACTTACAGACTTATTACTTAACTCGTTGTGAGCATTTCACCTCCTAGGCTTCATTCGCTATTAATCATGTTCCGTTCGCCTTGAACTTGGGTTGTAATATTTTAAGTATATCCTTATATCAACACACTGTGATATTCGATGTTCTACTACCTGACATCTGCTCATAAACTCCAACGTGTCTGTGATACATGATGGCAGAATAGTTAGTAAAGCCTCTTTCTGGTTTTGAAATACTAGATTTATTGTTCTCTTATCATGCTGCTCAGTAGAAGATAAAGCCAGTCCATAAAAATAGTTATCCATCACATATTATAGAAGCAAAGACCCAACAAGTGATGTTTGACATGTGCGGTATTTTTGTGTTTACGATAAGCAATAACATCATATTAAAAAAACAAAAACAAATAACAACAAACAGCACAACACGACCTGAAAATGTCATGGGATATAGCTTAGACACAGCACAAGATCATAAACAAATTTTATTACAGCTTTTTCACTCCGTTTGTGTTCAGCGTTCCTTCCAAAACCTACCGGTTTCATTAGTGAATAGCCAGTTTTATTGCAGTTGCACGCTGAACTTTCCAGCAAACACCTGCGAACTATATTAATCTGGCGCTGGACATCTACAGAAACATATATAGAACTATTTTTCTATTCGGTTTTGAACAGAGCCATTAAATGTTAACGAACAGTTCTGTGTTGAGAAATCCCAGTAAATATCTCTGGACCATTTTCTTTATCGGCAATATGCTAAAAATATTAGTTAGTATCTCTGTCCCTCCCCCTATTTTCTATTGTTACCATATCAGTATTGAACAGTCTCGGCAAAATATATGGGGACCTATTTTTATCAGTTCGCTGTAAAGCTAGACCCAGCAACTATCCGTAGACATATTTTTGAATGTTTAAGAACCTCTTCAAACCTATGTTCTACGTGTTTCTGAAAGCTTCTCCACAAATACGATTTTCTTCGATTCCAGCTAATAACCAAGAATTGATCAAATTTATATTTATTTATTATTTATAAATTATAAATTTATAAATTATAAATTTATATTTATTAGTTTTTATTTATGTCAATTAACATTCGTATTCTTCATGAATGCGAACGAACTTTATAGGACGTGAAAAATTAGCTCTGGTTAATGAGTTGAATAACAAGACTTAAGATATCATCATACTAACTTCGAGTGTTTGTATTCAAGTTAAGGAAAAAATATATGTTTTCTTAGCATCTATAAGCTCTGACGAGAAACGGTAATTAAATTATACTTGTATTTTTCTCTTACTTCGTTTTAGTTTACCAATTAATGATTCTAATGTTGGTGACTAATGAAGTTTCTTTTCAACCTTTTTTCATCACTTCTGTCAATTAGTAGTTGTGTGTGTTGTTGTTTTTTAAGAAGTAGTTTATTTTAAAATAAAGATATGAATCCAAACATTCAATGAACTCTGTTTCTTATAATTCCTACACAAAAAAAAAATTATCATGGAACAAGACTTCTATATGCCTACGTCGTTATTTTAGAGTTAAAACCTCATTATTCAGAGCTTGAGTGATCACAATAATAAAAACCTTCTAGTAAACGAACAAGTTTTCAATTCAGATATTTTTCTTTTATAAACCTAAAAAGAAGTGTAAGGTGTAATTACTGAAATCACATTATTTGATTACGTTTCAGTTAGAAGTATAAAGTTTATTTAAGTAACGATTATAGTGTTCCTATAATTTCAATAAAAGTGCACGTTGATTGAGTTACTCTGTAGAAACTTTGAACTGACTATTTGTGCTATCTTAATGCCATTATGTTAACGTTTGTATAACTCAGAATTACTGCATCGAGCGAGCCAGGCGCTTTATTGACTATTCTTAAACGAAATGAAATATTTCTAAATTTCAAACATATCTATCGTGTTTTAGTAAATCATATTGCAATCTTAGCGGAAAAGCTTACTTTCCTAGGACTAAAATACACTGAGATAAACGGAATCTAAAAATACTGATCTGGGAATATCTCCAGTTGTGACAGAGCACTTAGTCATCAAAATGTAGTCAAGAATATAATGATAGCAGAAGTATTTCAAATATCACAAGCGTTAGAATTAATAACTAGAAAGTAGTCCCATAAACACCACTATGACTCGGCTGGAATAGAGAAAGTAGTCCACCAACACCTTTGAAGCTAGAGTTGATACAGAGAAAGTAGTTCTATAAATATCACTGTGTCTCGAAATGGTATTGAAGAAAGCTGTTCTGCTAGTTGATAAAAACAAAAGTCGTTCAGCAAACACCATTAAGGATTGATTTGATGTAAAGAAAGTTGTTTCACGAACACCGCTAAGATTCCAACTGATACAGAAAACTTTGTCTCTTAGGGTAGTACTCGAGCTACTTATCAGAATGTCGTCACCAGTAGTATTCGAGCTACTAAACAGAATGTCGCCAAACAAGCATCAGTAGTACTCGAGCTACTAAGTAGAATGTCGTCACACAAGCGTTATTAGTACTGAAACTACTAAACAGAATGTCATCATACAAGCGCCAGTAGTAATCGAGCTACTAAATAGAATGTCGTCACACAAGCTCCAGTGGTACTTGAGCTACTAAATAGAATGTTGTCGCACAAACACCATAAGTACTCGAGTTACTAAATAGTATATCGTCATACAACCATCACAAGTACTCAAGAAAATGCTGAAAAAGTGACCCATCAGTATCGTGCTAATGCAGAGAAAGTGATTCTAATATATAAGCCCCATGAAACCCGTAAAATAATCAGATATAAAAATATACACAGGTGATGCATTTGTAATGAATATACTAGTAATTTGACTTTTTTTTTTTCAAGGAGGTTGTTAAATCTTCTTTAATTTAAATACGATAAGGCACAAATGACTATAAATCAGGCTATGAGAAAGTCACGTCATACCCTCATTTAGGTTCTACTCAAGCACTAAATACAGCCTTTTCATACTTTCTCATAATTACTTCAGGGAAAGACCAAGTGATATCTGATAAGCTTTTTTCATGCTTGAAAATACACACTTTTATTAAAGCTCTGATTTCTTTCCCCATAATTTGATAAAATATATTTCTCATTGAATTTTATCTGACCACATATATAACTTTAACACATATTTTGTGTGATAGCCCTAAAACTTATTTCCTCTATACAAGATGTATGGAGAGTTTTGATTTTGTTCTTTTCCTTTCCCCTTTTGTTTGTTTTTCCTATTGCTGTTGTCATCATAAAATATCAAAGTAACTGAAAAGAGAAACCAACATTTTATGAACATTGTAGAAGTTGAAAACCTATATTTGACATGTTTTGTATTGAAGGATTAATGGGGTATACGCCACATAAAATGATGGATTTTACTTTACCCCATATTGAAAACTTTCTGTGCCTTATCGACATTTCTACGCATTAATATAGACTAGAAATCTCTTCGGGCGTCCCGTTCAAACAATTTTCTATGAAATTGAAAGTTGTTAGAAGTGGACAACCTGCAATTTCTCTATTTTACCGATTTTCAACCACAAGTCATTCAAACTACTTTGTTATAAAATATTAATAGGAAATGTTGATCTAGCATTGCTATATTACCGGAATAACATTGCTATATTACCGGAGTGAGATTGTTATATTACCGGAATAACATTGCTATATTACCGGAGTGAGACACTAAATATAATACGTCCTCTAAAACATGAAACTGTACATCTGTTATTCTTTCATTTTCTATTCCTGAACCCAAAGTTGCAGTTATCTTCAATATTTTAAGAACAGGAATGGGTAACAAACGAAACATACCTAGGTTGAGTCATTCGTTATTCTTACGTCGTTGGCATGAGATAATGTAAACGGTATACTAAACCACTTGTACTGCATTACTTGACACAGCACGATGCGTATTTAGAGACGAAAAACGTGATATTAAACGCGTCTTATGTCAACGAGACGAAGTCGCAAAACAAGCTTTACTTTAAAACAACATTGCAACGCTTTAACAAAAAAGGTGCAACATGATAGATAATAGACAAGTATCTGAGGTAATTTTGTGGTATTTGAGTCATGTATTATACTGTGATGTAATGTACATTATAATTACAAATAACATAAAAGTGAGAGTCGGAGAAGATCCACACATTCATCGTGAATACATTCCTTAAACGTAACTTTACCGATAATACAGAGTGATCTCTATACAACAGTGGTTATTTTGCACAAAGGTGGATTTTCAAATTTCCTTGAATAAATGTTAAAATATTTAGAAGCATTCCTTAGCGTGTGTCTTAGGCCTAAAATTAGTTAACCCTTTATTAAGTACAGCCTATATTCGATAAAAAGATAAATGAACACTGTAACTTGTGTAATTTTTTTGATTTTGTTTAGTTAAGGCTAAGCTTTACCGTACTTAATGCTATCAATAAATAAACCTATAATGTTATTCTAAAACCTAACATTAGACCTTTTTAAAAACTTTGGTAAGCTTTTAATATATGTTTTTGTACAAAGTGCCCACTAAAGTATATTCCCGCCTTTTTGTTTACATCCATTGAAATGAAGTTCGCGCGCATGTGCATTTAGATAGCAAGGTGCACGCACTTTTCAGGATAGACAAATACTGAGTATTGTTATAAGAGATAGTTGATTTAGTTTGAAGCGGACTTATAGATTTCGGTGTCTGTAATTAAAATTATTTTGTATTATTCTGTATTTAAAAAAATACTACTGTCATAAATATATTAGTTTGACCGCAAATGTTTTGCGGGTCTCTGCTAGTTCCTATTAATTCCGAGTGAAAATAAATTGATAGCCTATTTATATTTATGCTATTTTTATAACTGGACGCTATGTCTATCAGCATATTTTTAAGCATTCTCATGCACCGTTTTTCACACTCTTTATATACAACATTGATTCAACTAATAATTATTTCTTCGTGGTTTTACAATTGATTTTATAAGCTCATTTTATAAACTTCTTTAGTTGTGATGAAAGTCTTTAATTCTCAGTATGTAGAAAACAATCAAATAATTATATAGGCAATCTATGCAGAAATAAAATATAAAATGACAGTTAGAATCTGATCATGAATTGAATCGAGCACAAAGACAAGCACTGTATTCCTCACATTATAAAACATTATAGAGATGACATGTTTTCTGGTGATTAGCCCATCTGTATTTTACAGTGGTATCCAGAGGTTAGAGATCATTCTCCTAACGTACCTGTCCTCTTATGTGGCTGCCAAAGTGATCTTCGCACTGACAGTGACACACTCACTTCGCTGGCAAAAAGAAAAAAGTCGCCAGTCAGCTCGGAACAGGTTAGTAAATGTTTCATGCTGAAGCCACTTTTCTCTGACTAGACATAATACCTTAAAAAATAAATATTTTTGACGATTACAAATATGTTACGTCAACCCTTCTCCCTAACTGAAATTATGCATATTTTTACAAGATAATTAAACATTTTTAATTTAAAAAGGAAAATAGGGTTCGTCAAAGAATTACAGGAAGAAAATGAATCCAAATGGAAAGATTATATTTTCAAGTCTACAACTAAGGACTCTAAAAAAGTAAACAAACAACGCTGGCTGTAAATAGTTTGTTTACTTACTCCCTAGTTGTTGGTAATGAAGAAAAACTGAAAAATATTTTAGAGAGTGGAAATCTCCACTTTTAAGAATCAATTTACAAATAGCTTTACAGCCTTCATAGGAGTTTGTTTGGTAGCTGTGCATACATTTCGGCGCACTATACCTAGACGTTTTTGCTGTAGGCTTCGGTGATTGAATGGCTTCGAAAAGAAACTTGGCCAGTAGCGATAAAAATTTGATAAAAGCTTTCTGTTTGTTTCAAGAGTCAACATACATATGGTCCTATGACCTGCTCAGGAGCTTTTTAAAAGATTTGCCGAGGTTTGAATAAAATATTCTAAACCGTTTTTATGTATGCTTGTGAAAGAAGGATAATATGAATAATAATAATATTATGAAGAACAAATGGATGAATTTTGTCTAATAATCGGAAAATCAACTTCTATGCTATTATCAATATTTTAGCAGCCTTAACCATTGAGATAGAAGGTCTTGTGTTGTTTCAAAAACAGGTCTGCTTTGTAAGATGGTTTTTGTTTGTATGTTCTATTAGAATTTTTGTGAAATTCCTGGGAGAATACTATTATGAACCATTATAGTGGTTCATGATTAAGTGCGTTCTCGATGAGTTTTTGGAATTTATAGTGGCTCAACAAATAATTAAAATCTAAATAAATTTTGTCTATCTATGGGTTTCTCCCTTGGGGCTGATAACAAGCTACATGAATTCAGGTCTAGAGACAAAGGTTTCCCATAAAGTATATGCCAGTAGAGTTGAAGTTAAAATGAATTATGATCACAATACAGCTTATATTATAAATAAGCCTAAGGATACAATATTTAAAGCATTAAAATGTTTTTCCTCTTAATATTTTAAAAGTTTCGGCCAGCATGGTAGGTACAACTTAGAATGAAATGTAAAATAGTTATGTTGTAAGTACTTATAAACTTGAGAATGCTGTATTCTTCTCACGATTGTGGTGGTCTTCTGATAATCGACACGAAACTTGGTAAGTTTCAAAACTATTTCAAACAGTAAGTAAACAAACTATAGTCAAACCTTTAATTGGCACAGGGCTTACTACAAATGGAACTTCGTAACCGTGTTTGACTGTTGTGTATGTAACTATTTTAGAATGCAACATAATTCCTCATCAATCAATGTCTTTTTTGGTTGTATTTCTTAATCTCTATTGAAATTCGTGTAACAGTAGCGTGTTAGCTTATGCTTAGGTACATTTATGTATTAGTGAGCGACATTAATTATCGCAGTATTACACAGTGTATATTTACGTACTTAATCATCTCATTAATATTAACTAACTATACAGGTATTGAACGAAAGGCCACGTCGAAACTGAATTTGGCAGATATAGTGTGATTGACATATTGCTGAACATTTTTCTTTGCTTTTATTCATAAGTTCTCAGGAATACGATGCTTTACGTAATCTAACTCATTAATAAATGACCTAATCCAAGTAAAACCAAATTTTGTTAAACATCCCTTTTAATATATCGGAAAGTGTACTTGATAGAAGCTGTGATTATCATGACCATCCACTGTCTTTTTAACTGTTTCTCTAGGCCTTAGTAGTTTCCAGGCAGATTGGGGCTACCACGTATGTGGAAACTTCATCCAGACTCAGTGGTCGTAGCGTACAAGATGCCTTCGAGGTTGCATCACTTGCAGCACTGGGCAAACTCAACAAAAGCCACGTAGCCGTTCCACGCCATTCTGCCCTAGTGAAGTCCAAGTACAAGTCTAAGCTCGACTTAAAGGATGACTTCCGGGATCGAACAAAAAATTGTATATTAATGTGAACTAAATCCATATCTGTGTCCTGTAAATGTAGAAATAGTCATGTGAAATGTGGGCTTACCATGCTTTGCTGCCGAATTTGTCACGTGATTCAGAAGGCAGAATGATATTACATGGAGCTGCCTCAAATCGATCGTATTGTACAGGTTGTATTTGACGTTATTTTAACTTATTAAACTTATGACACTGGCCGGAGGAATGAAAGAATAGCCCAAGATGCTGGGCATACATCGAAAAAAATACGACAACAAAGATATAATAGAAATATTTTAAGTGATGCTATTCTAATCGTAAAGTCCAAAGTACAATGTGACACAAAAGCACCACAAACAACCATAAATTCAACCACCTGCAGAAGCTAAAGGAAGAAACATGAGAATATCTCGCAACGATTAAATAAGTTATACTTAATTTGTTTATAACATTTTATGTTAAACACGCTTTTGTGAAAAATAATCGAAATAAATAAGCGTTACAGTGACACACGTATATTACGGTAAAATGGAAGTGTTTACTCACACACACACATTCATTTGAAAAGAGTTTTAATAAAACGTGTTAAAAGTATTTTAATCACACAATTACTTGAAGAACAATATATGAATAGATTAGTGACACATACCATACACAAACTCTAAGAAAGTGTTAGTGACATACAGCTATTTTCAATATATATATATATATATTTACATAAGATTCAATAATACCTACGTATATGTAAAATGTATGAAAATGTTTTAATGTGACACATGAAAAAGATGAATGTGTTTTATAATCGTATATACGTTCATAAAGGATTTTACTCACGTGTTAAAATGTGTAACTAGTTCGGTACCGTGTAAACATTTTAAAAACAGTGACGCATACATGAAACAACACATATATTATCTTTGAAGGACACTTATGCATGAAATAAATATGATACGTTTTAGTGACGCAGACACAATTTTGTGACACACGCACATGTGAAAGAAACTTTAGCAAGTAATTTTGTGGCACATATCAAATATTAACTTTTTATGGAACTTGTTCAAGAGAAAATTACTGATTAATATATCTCTCTTCTAGAAAATTAAATACGAATCTTTTAATTAACATAAATCATTTACAATTGTAGCACTTACAATTTTGTTAGGGTTAAAAACTAATATTTATCATACTAAATAAAGGATATAAAACACTTGTTTTATTAATGTAAGAACAGTGGTTTGGCAAAACAGTATTTGCATCAAATAAATTGTTTTATTTAGAAAAATAAAATGAGATAAACCGTGCTACCACTAATCTCTAATTTTAACGAAATTTTTTAAACATATTTTATGATCTTTCAGTGTCAATTAATGTGATTTAAGCAACATTTTATTTGTATTTGTATTTGATTTACTTATATTCATTGCCTAATCACTCTTTATGAAAGGATCGTGTTAAAACTTCCTGCTGTGAAAACGTAATACTTATCTTTATAATAAATCTCTATCGATAGTGAACGGCATGATGGTCGTGGTTCCATTTACTTGACTTCAATGTAAAGCATGGTATCTTAAGTGTCAAAGTAATTACGTAGGAAACATGCAATTGATAATACATAGTGCTTAATGAAGCTGGGAGTTAGATCCTGGGGCTTCGAAACTTTGAAAACGGTTTTTAATCTTTTACTTAGCTTATGTGTTAATACCAAACGTGCAGTATCAGACACAAAATTATACTTGGTTCAGGAGAGTTTAAACGTCATTACATTTATGCTAATACAAAGCATCTTGTTTTGTTTTTAAACTGCATGACGTGCTTAAATTACCAATATTTTGAACGTGAGCTCGCTCTGTTGTTGCTAAAACACAAATAGATAACTCCAATACGGAGTGCCTAATAAATTATACAACGTGGCTGCATTATACCCTGCAGCTTATAAAAAGCTTTGAGACCTCGTAAACAGAAATTTTATCTACTGTTACTAAAACTTGTTATATAGCTTATATTTTCCTACAAATTGGGTTCAAACGGCGTTTGATATTTACCCATTAGGTGGCGTTGTACTGATCATGATATTTCATGATTTTTCCAATAGGTGACTGTTTGTAAGTCATAAAGCAAGGACATTATAGATATATTAATTAAAGGTCGTATGAGATGCAACCAGTAAGGTTAAAAAATTAGAATAGATTTGTTAATGAAACTCCAAGTTTTAAATTTATAGAAATATGATAATCCTGTGTGTAAAGAATTTATTGGTTAAAATGGTAGAATATTTTAGCATAGGTTTTAGCATGAAGTTCTTTTTTTTCAGATATTTAATATATCTTGCATTAACAATTTTATTGGCTGCGTTACTTGCAGGAAAATCAAATTGTATGCTCTTAATGAAACTTATTAAAACCTGTTCAGTTTCTATAAAAAGAATTAGCGGTAATTTCTATGTTAGAGGTGGTGTGATGTGAGGAAATATTCCAAAGCTTAAACGAGGGAAATATAACTCTATCAAATGAATTTTTTCCAAGTTTTCAATGTTTGGACTTTGTCGTTCTGATCGTGTGTACTTACGCTTCCAATATTACTGCAATATTGAGTGTATAAATTATATAGAGCGAATGTTTAAAATAATATTACACACAAGACTATTGTGGTGTAATTAATTTGTAAAAATGTTGTTTACCATTGTAGGAAATGATTGTGTACTTAATCAAAAAAAATGTTTAAAGTACTTTTTGTAACTACGAAAAACATTATTGTACCATTATTATGGGTAGAATATTTCAATAAACTAGAAATATGCTTTTATTGTGATGAAAATAAATTACATTTTAGATTAAATTTACCAATGTGTTACAGTCACTTTCAAAATCAAACGGTGATTAACAGTTAGTTAATTTTACGTGGGATTAGCCGAATTTTATTAGATCGATTTGCATATGCCGTTACATAAATGTTTCGCTGCAGATGCGAGCTTGGCACAAGGGACAATATACTTAGTACGTATACATTTGGTTTATGGCAATTTCCCCATATTCAATAGTGCAATGACATCAAGTTGAGTGATGGCTGTAGGTTCGGTTAAAGTGAGGAAGAATGTTCGTATAGTAAGCTATCAAAGAGGTGCAATGATGACTACCAATATAATAATGGAAAAGGTGGCAAGGATAAGCTAGGAAGTAAACTCAACTAAATGGCAACCCATTTCATCCAGGACTGCCTCTATCTCTGCCTCCAATCCTAACTGCTAACACGTTACATTTAGCCCAATCATTGAGGACAAATTAATCGACAACTATCTTACCCACGTAGAGAAACGTAAACCACGACTGAAACCAAACCATGAACTACTGAAAACCGTGCTAAAAATATATTGTTCATAGAAGATGGAAGCTTGTTGCAACATTGAAAAAGGCCTAGAAACAGGCGGTTTCCTACTGACCACGATGTAATAACTACTTTCCAACAAGGTGCAGAGAATATCAAAAATATTTTGTTAGTCTTTATGATTGATGCAGAATTCTCATGAAATGGGAACATTAAACTTCACAAAGTACAGAGTAAAGCAAAAATAAGCTCTGATTATACTATTAGGATAACGTATTGACACTTTCTATGCAATATGAAATTTTTGCACCGTATCGCTATGACGTAAAAAATGCATTTCTACGTTAACAATAATTTCTATTTCATGAATGAAACAAACTCTCGCAAATCTTTTGAGGTAATTTAACGTCAGGAGACTTTAAGACTTATCTTAACAATTATTTGACAAAAGTTTGCCTGTCCGCTTGACCGATTATTATCTAATTTGTCATGTATCCTTAGGACCCTCCGTGAGTGGCATGATGGAGGTATTTCTATCTGACTCCTTACGTCATTGGCTGTGCCCCATATTTATTTTCCATGAATTGAAAGGATAGGTCAGTTAGTGTATTAATATTTTGTAAAGTGCACGTTTTTTATTAGTTCGAAGTATTATAAGTATTAAACATTAAACTTCATATGTGTGAAGACACCTGAATGCACGCTCATGGACCTCTGTGTATTTGGGTTGCCAAAATGTGTCCTCGGAAGTCAGCGTCCTCGTTTGTCGAAATGTGTAGTCTAAAAATAATGTCGTTGTCCTTCCCCAAACTGAGTACAATAGCAATTACAATTTTGAGCAACAGTACGTAAACGTGGCTAGCAAAGTAAGAGTGATCAACGACAAAAGTTGCTCAAAGACAGCTTGTGACCTGAAACATCGTTCTTATATTGTGTTGAACATATTTGTTATTAATTCACTACAACTCAAAATCCTTTTTGTTAGATTTAATAACATTAAACATTTAGAAATTTCTAAACTTCATAGTAAACAACTTACTTCTGTATTTGATCAATTTCATCAAACTCTTACTCTTCATTACAAACATTTGACATAGATGCACAATTAAAATGTTTACGACAAAATGTCCGGCTTAGATTTTTTCTCATTTTCCCTTTCTAGCTCTAGAAACATAAGTCATCTCCCTGGTAAATTTTTAAACTTCTGCAAATGACATACTCTTTCTGATAATATTTTTTGTTTTATTTGATATAATTCGTCTTACTGATAATATTGAATGTCTCTTGCAATGTGATTCGTTTGACACATAAAATAGCATGCTTTTAAAAGATGAATATTCTTACTGGTAAGGCTGAATGTTCTATGTGAAATAAATTACTTATTTAGATCAATGGAACCTCTAGATCTTGAATAATCCTAATGAAAATATTATACGCTATACTTCTAGAAACGGATAATCCTACTATAAGATTAATCTTACTGTTATAATTTTTATTATACTTTTAGAACTCAATAACCTGTCCCCCAGTGTCTCAGTAGTAAATATGAGAGCTCACACCGCTAAAAATCAGGCTTCGATACCCTTTGCGTAGCTTTGCAGTTAACAAGACACAAACAAACAAACTGAGTAACCTTAATGGTAAAATCGAATGTTTTGTTTCATATGGCTTACTTTACTAAACACACTGACCATCTACTGGTCATTGAATTGACTTACTGTTACTTGCGTATTTTTCATGTACTATAACTCGTTTTTACAGATACGGAAGTGGTATTAAAGAGTCCATGGAGTAGACATATGATCTGTTGTTACCGAGCGTGAAAAATAGTGTATTCTTATCGTTCACTAGATGATGTACACCAAGTCCACTTCTATGTCATTAAACCATACGACAAACTTAATACGCAGTCATACAGAAAATATTCCAATCAGTTTTTCATACCCTCAAATACATCATGAGCTTCCTGAAATACGTCATCTTTGACAATATTCTTCTTTCAAAATGGTTTCGAGTGATGAGGAAAAATGGCACGCTAATACAGATAATAAAATACTTAATAAAGACGATTATTTCTAAGATAATCGTGTATTTTCCGAACACATTTATCCAAACATTTTGTCTCAAACAATTATAGAGGCTTGACGTGCTCAACTGGATATTTATTTCAGACGATGTTCAGTTCGCTTAAGCGTGAAAGGGCGTAGTTAAAGTAGCTACGTTTGATGAAGGACAAAACCAAACCATTGCGACGAGTT